TAAAGGAATTAAGTTTTTTATCCGACATCGATCTTTTGACGACGTCCCTAACTGGAATAAAACTATGATTACTGCAACCCAAATATGGATAAAAACAAAGTGTTCCAATTATTGAACATTGAGGGCGCTAGTCCTATTTGCTTCAAAGCTTACTTACCTCTATAATACTTATAAGAATCATAAAAACAGGAGGTGGGCAGCAACTATAACCATCAATATAGTTCTTTCGGTCGTAGCTATTCGTTAATATCTCGTCAGCAACTCTCTTCAGTACTTTTTGTCTAACAGATAACTGATCATATCTGGACTGCCCATGCTCTTCAAAATCTTTATCTCGTACCGCGATTGAGAAACTAAGGGTTCGCTTTTCACTCATCTGAAAATTGTGCAAAAAAAAAAAGAATTTGTTTTTAAATTTTTTCATGTCTGGCAACAGTTATTGTATGTTTTTTGATGGGCAAAAAACAATTTGCACATATGTGACAGTGTTGTGTGGTCGTCTTCCATCATAATGGCATCATGACAATTTAACATGCTATCCTGTTGTCCAACACAAGCACCTGCACACCATCAACAATTTCCAATGGCATAATCTATGGCATGCTCACCCTAATCAAGGCTGGATGACCTGGAAGATGTCCAGTTTGCTAATGATAAATATTGAATATTAATTGTGACAAAGTAAAAACAAACTGTTTCATTGGGATGCAGTAGTTGTATCACATATTCATTTCAATCTGTGATCACGGCTATCAAACCAGATTAGAATGAAAGTAGCAATTATACGCAGAAGTTAATGGTACTAAGAATGGTGTACATATTCCCATGGGATTTTACTTTGTTCTTGATGACTGCACATATTTTGATATTAAATCAAATATTCAGTCAACTACAGACATGACTGGAAATAGATAACACCAATGAAAATGAACTGGTAATTTTAGTTTACTGCATCAGCTGACACAAATCTGACTACAAATGACAATGCTGGAATACAGCCATGTGCATATCTCATTGCGGAATATACAAATTATAGAATGCAAGATATTCTATAAAATAAACAGTTACCAAAGTGGATACAAATTTTGCGAGGAAAATCAAAAAGTTTACTTTATCCAAATAAGCTCCAAATTATATAATTCTATGCAAATTAGCTATGGTCATTCCAACAATGTATTTTTTGTTAATTTCACACACTTCTTCAGTTTCTATGTAGTGAACGACTAGCACTTTGTTGTATTTAAGGAAATATAGAAAACTAACATAGTTGTTATTTTTCACCTCTGTAGTTAAAGCTTGTTCTTAGGAAAAACCTATGAAAACAAGTCATTGGAGAAAATAAAATAGATATAACATAAATTTCCCTGCAATCTATCAATTGTTTATTTAGAACATTACTTGAGACACTAATTTATAATGTGTTTTAATTGGCTTCATTGAAGTCAACATTTCCTAATATTGTGATCCACTTAATCTAAAAACATGAGACAAATTACATATTAAAGTCAGTGAATACCATTTTGTAGCAGTGAGAATTGTTTCTCAGTTAACGACATTTGCGATATTTTGTCTTTACGAATACGATAAAACCTTCAAATCATGAAAATTCCTTGCAGTTTTCATGAACGTCACATGATATTTCAACCAATCAACATGATTATTTATAGATAAAATGTTATACTATGTAATTTAATGTGACCAACATCACAGAGAGGAAGAAACACACCCTACTACATTACATATACATCTACAGATGTGACAGACCGGTAAAAGCAAGTATAAGTTGGCATCTGGCATTATGCCATTAAGAAGTCTGAGAGGACTATCATGAAAATTACCACCATATTTGATGCACACCTATAAAACTCAAGTCATGTTATGACATGTTCAATCACAATCAAACGTCTATATCCATTTCCAGTTAGTTCCCAGTTGTGCATATTCAAATGAAATGCAGAAAATCTAAGTCACGACCTCCTATCTCTTACAAAGAAGAATGATTCCTATCTCATCTTCAGAGATTACTTGATTCTTTATACCATCAAGGGAATAAAAGTAAGACAGATACCATACTGTACTGACTGTTACCATGACTACTAAATAGGGTATGAAATATGAGTATATCATCTGCCAACTTCTTAATCCTTGATTGCTTTTATACAGGTAGATATCCTCATCAGATAATGCTAAATGGCAGTAAGAATTTTTAAATGTTTGCCACAAAGTGAAGGTCATTTCATCTTGTATCAGTTCATCTTGTGTCTATTATATGTAACCTAGGTAACGGTGTGCATATCAGACATCAAGTTAATGTAACACCATCTGTGAGATTGCTTATTAGAACCAAAAGCGGACAAGCAGAATATGTTCCACCTCCTACGCAATGAATAATCAGAAATACAAGTGTAGCTAAATGACCAGAAGAAATTTATAGCCTAGTTATATTCACAAATAATTTGTAAAATTTGCATTCTCAACGATGAAAAGCTTAATCTATTCAGTAAAATCCCAGCATGATACAATCACAAAGCTTTGGTTTGATAAAATTTTAATTGTTGTACAACATACACAAATAAACATTCAAACATGATTTTATGTTGTCCCATAAAAAAAAAAATAAGAGATGTCAAATAAAATCTTTACAGGGAACCATATGCCACATTTGGGATTTTTGAATTAAGTATTAACACTAAAACCAAAATGATCAGTAAGGCCCCAAAGACATATATATGATGTCAAAGGTTTATAAGATGAGAATGAGAGAATTGAAGATCTCATGAAAATTGAAGATCTCACATGTGAATTGAAGATCTCATGAAAATTGAAGATCTCACATGTGAATTGAAGATCTCATGAAAATTGAAGATCTCACGTGAATTGAAGATCTCACGAGAATTGAAGATCTCACGTGAATTGCAAGATCTCACGTGAATTGCAAGATGATCACAGGACTAGAAATACTAATAGAAATTTTGTTTTCATCACAGGCTGTTTTTTGATAGTGTCATTTGCAATGCATGTTTTGTGTACTTTTTTCATTTTTGAATTATTGCAATATTCTCGTCCATTTCTGTATATGCAATTGTACATTTCAAAGTGTCCACTGTATTGTGATGTCATCGGTTGAAATTCATATGACTGATGTGCACATGAAACTTACCAAATAATGCATATATCAGGGTTGAATTCCTTATATATCCTTGCTTCATAAAATCTTAACATTACTTATCATTTAGCTCAATGAATACAAAATTCAACTTGGACCAAACTGGATATTGTGGTGCCAAAGAGAACACACAAGGTAATGTGTTAGATGACTTGGTAATATGTCGGGTCATATGGTAATATGTTGGTTCCTATGGTACATGTAATATGACACTGCTCAACTTACTCATTGCAAACAAAAAGAAAGTAATGTATTGTTGTATACAACATTTGACCTCATCAAATATTTATAAATTCAGTGTATGCAAATTTCATATCGATGTACAGTTTATGGTGATATGCAAAGAAGATCTCATGAGAAGTAAACTTTTAGTACTTTGTGAGTATATGAAAGTGATGCCATCAGCATCGAATGTATTTCTA